AACCAATTTGAGTTCTAGGAAGCCGTTTCTAGCACTTGATGCTATCTGTGTGTTTGTACAGTATCATCGAAGTGGAATCATGTTGTTTAAAGTGGAATCAACAAACAGCAAATAATTTTTTCGTAACAGGTTCTTTAAGCAGCTAACACAAACACAGGCTGGGAGTCATCCAGGTGTGATCTGGGACACCGAGGATCACCTTTTTAAGGTAACTCACAGATATGTTTGTGCAAACACTATTTGTGCAATAACACCTGCAACAGACAGCTTTAACCAACAAATGAATTTACGCTTTCTCTTAGTCCTTCCCTATTTGGGAAAGTCTTCCCTGACCCCGTCCATCAGCAGTCTCTGCAACTCTGAGTCATCCTACTTACATCTATATGCATTAGATTCTGTGGGGGAAAACACAAGCAAAAGCAAGCCACTATCTAACTATCGCCAATCTGATGAACAGGTTTTTCTCATCAGCACCCCAGTCGCATGAATTTTTCGACATTCCTTCTAAAATATCTCACTAACTAGCATCACTAAGCTGGTGGAGAACAAAAACATCTTTTACCATTTTAAGGGTAATAACTCCCATGTATAATTGGCACCATATTGGTTTATGTGCAGCTAACTGCATTTTACTGGCACTCATTTCCATCGCTGGCTAGAAAGCAAGCAGCCTTCTCCAGGCTACATCTCTGAGCATTCAGGCTTTTGTGCCTGTATTAGAAGGGATTAATCTTTCCATTGTCACTAATAGTTTCACCTCTGGGCATTTCTAAACTAAAATTACTGATCTAACTAATTAGCCTGTTTGGGATAAAATATTTCAACAGAGAATGGGAAGCTGAAAATGTGCCCTAGCTCAGATCTTGGGTAGAACGTCAGCATTCAGGTAAGCCCTGGAGAGAAGCACGGGGGAATACTTCGCCTTTTGGAAAGGCTCACGTGAGTTGAACATATGGATTAGTCCATTACTCAGGAGATGAGAACAAGCCCCATTTGGATGGGATCAGTTCGGGTTTCATTCCTGCTCTGGGTGGGAGGGTCTGTGGCTACAAATTATGTAGCTAACCCCCATCTGGGTGCAAGAAATTTGAGGCAAAGACAAAATGCACCCCACCACAATACTGCTATTTTTTCCTTTGGTAAAGACATGTTCAGGTTGCAGTCTCACTCTGAGCCAGAATCATCTGGTCATACAGCCTGCAGAACCTACTGCCTGAAAGAGTTTATGTGAAAACATCTGTTTTCAGTAATCTTGTTATAGATCAGCTGTCACGTATCCTTCAAATTACGTGCTCTCATGTTTTCATTGCAGATGTGGCAATGGCAGAAGCACGGTATTTCCCAGGGCTGCACCTTTTATTGGTACAATTTTTCCAAGGCTACTTATCTCGTAGAATTGGCTAGAGCACAGTGTTGCCTGTTTGCTATATGTCCTATCTTTAGACCTCAGAAGTTCATTGCCCTTATGAATGAGAATGTCATCGCCTTCAGAGCATTCTTTTGGAAAGAATCTGCTTTATGCATACAACCATTAGCTGAACCTACTCACTTGCCCACAGTCCATGCCTTCAAAGTGGTAAGTATTGATGATAATGTTTCACGTTGCTCTGAGCACTGCAGCTTTAGGATCCACAAAAGGTAGTATTCGTTATAACAAAAAAAATGTCCTTTGAAAGATGATGAACTAATTTGGCATTACACAAGACTTTATTTTTACATATATCAGAAGAAAAGGCACATTTCTGCAGCAAGCGAGAGCCCTAATGCTCCCACAATACATTCTGGCTGGATGAGAGACAAATGCCACATGCCTTCATACTGCCCCATGTGCCCTGGTGAATTTCACCCTGTGCATCTACCAAATTTCTGTCAATGACATAGGCAGTCTACTGTGGAAGTGACAAAGCACTCCAAACCAGCCCTGCAGCCACCTTGCTCTTCTCACCCACTTTGGGCTGTTGCTTGACTACAACACGAGTACTGAGCATTGCCAGCAAAGCTAACACACCAGAGAGAAGCACTCTCTTTTCATCTCACTCATGCTTAGGAACTCATAAGCGTTCGGTACTTTCCTTTTTCCTGTTAAGTCCATCCCTTTATTGTAGATATGTCCTCCTTCTCTCCACCATATAGGAAGCCCGTTGGCTCAAACAAGCCCCTCTGCAGTTGCTTTGAAAGCCCCATTCAGTCCCCCCATTCAGTGTCCTGCCCAGGTGCAGGAACCTCCAGCCTACCTGTCCTCCTGCCAGCAGGCCAGTGGTTGGCTCCTCCAGACCTTTTACACAGAATGCAAAAAAGGAAATTGTATAATATCCAAAAGGAGGATAAAAGAGGAAAAAACTGTCCATAAGCATCCAATAAAATCAATATACTTCCCGATCACATTAAAGGCACAGGTCTGAATTGTCTTCTACATTCCTACGTGCTATTTGATGTCTGGCTCTGCAGGGCCAGGTGCAGGCTTTGTGTGTTTGAATCAGGGTCAGTTGTCAGCTTGTTCTGCTTTGTTTTCATGATCTGTTGATTTAGGCTATACTTTCAAGACAGATCCCTGACAATTCTGATGTGAGCTGCCTGTAACGGATCTTTTGCCCATAGAAGAGGTGAAACATAGTTCTGCCACACTTTCTCCCTCCTGGAGAAATGTAATTTTCTCCTCCTCAGCATGCTCTCTATAGCCAGGGTACGTATCTGATACAGATGCACAAGCGTAATGTTGTCAGCCACCGGGACTGCTTTAAAAGCAACTGGCTCTCACCTCCTGGGCACCAGACATTGCTGCAGAAGGTGAAGAGCCCCCTCTGCCTGCAGCGCAGATGCCGGGGATGCAGCCAAACAGGGGAAGGAAAAGCACAGGCCCACTGCTTCCTGCAGGGCTTAGGACTGCTCTCCCACGCGCCTGGATATGGCAGAGGACTGAATTTGCCACCGCAGCCTTTCAACACTGTTCTTTTTATGTCTCTGCTTATGTAAATTGAAAACTTTTAAAATCCCAGAGCATAGGATTAGGCACCAAAGTGAGCTAATTAGATATTAATGGCCATTCTCTGTCCTTCTTATGGCCTTTTTGTACACTTTTTTCAGTTGGGAAATCAGTGTGATTTATTTCACATGTAATTCCTCAAACATGGAAGGCATTTGGTACGAACTTTTAAAAGCAGTGCTCCTTACCATCTGGTGTCCATTGCAGAAAGAACACCATCAGAATGAAATAGCTTGAAATTCCACTTTGATGCTGTGCTTTGTACTCTTCTTTGGAGAAAATGTCTATATTTTAATAAGTCCCAATGAGGGAAAGGCTTTGCTGTAGGGAGAAATCTTTCTTTAAAGATATCCTGGCATGTTTTTTGCTTTCACTCTCTTTTTTAGAGTGGGGCAGCTTCAACCAAAAAGGAATGACCCCTTTCCTGCAGCAGATTGCCTCTCATTTTGGAAGAGCTCTAGGAACAGCAATTAATCTCTACCTCTTGGCTCTCTTCCACCAACTTTCAACGCATAAATCTGCTAGCTAATCCCACAATTAGTACCTGGACTATAATTCTCTCGCTGCTCAGAGCTGGCTTAAGCAAGCCCAGCGTGTTGTGGCCATAGAAAACATTCTGTCCCAGCTGGAGAGCCATGCGAGGTTTGTCCCTCACTGCCACCAGGGATGTTCTGACCCTGCACAGCTGCTGCTGCTTGTCCCCGTGGACCAAACCTGGAGGTCTCCTGGCACTACCAAAGGTGCTGCTGCACTGCTGAGGATCTCAAAAGGGGACCAGCATGGGGAACCAGGGAGAGGAAGCTTCACTAAAAGGCTCATCTCGTTCTGCTGCACATCGCTACTTACAGCTCAGACTTTTATCCCCCTAGGAAAAAGAGGTGCCAACTGTGGCTGTTCTGTCCTCAAGGGCCTCCTCCCCAGGGTGCCCTGGGACTGCTGCCTGCACCAGTAGCAGCCTCCAGCACAGGGGCAGGTTCTAGCACGGGGCTGCCATCAAAAAGCACGTGCTGCCCATCGGAGCACATTTGAGGCTGCCCAGGTTGGGTGTCCCCATTTTCACATGGGAAAGAAAGCCCCAGCAGGGGAAGTAGTTTGCAAAAAAACAAGGCAGTGCCTCAAGAACACAGCCAGGGACAGGCTCACAGGTTGGTGCTGCATCTACGGGTTGCCAGCTGGAGCTTTTGAGCCCATGCAAATCTTCCGTGTTAGAATGAGCACAGTACACAGTAAACCCTGTTGGAAGGCAACCTGTAGCCATCTCACCCCACCACAAGCCAAACCACCACAACCTGACAACTCTGGGTATGGACGAAGCAGTGCAAATCAACATGCATGAGAACGCTTTGTTCCATTTTTTAACCAGAAAAGCATGAATCAGTACAGGTAGAGAAGAGCAAAGTGAAAACAACTCTCAGCTCCAGCCAGGGGTGGCCTACGGGATCGCTAAGGAGCTCTGCAGAGAGGCTGGAAGCTGGTGCCAAGCCTGGCCTGAAAAACTGCTACCAGACCGAGAGCACCCTCATAGCATGCAGCCTCTTGTTGCCGTGACAGCAAAACTCATTTGGAAACACAGATTTTGCTTAAAAAAAAAAAATCAAAAGAAAGTAAACTGACTTTCAATGGTCAGATCTAAGGCTCCCCTAACAAGACTGAGGCAACGAGCTGGCCAGCACTGAGCAGCCACACAAAACCACGTGTACACTCTCGTTCTCTTCCTTTTGGTTCCCTTTTGCTGCAAGGGCTGTGCCCTCCAGTTCTTATGCTAGAAATGCACCGCAGAAAGTCTTTTTCCTACTAGGTGGTATGAGTGTCTGTGGCAGTAACATAAACCTTGTTGTATGTTTGATACATCCTGAATTCATCTGCACACAAAGCTAGTATGAATCCCAGTCCAAGGCACCACTAGGGTAAAGGCCACTAAAATAATTCCTACAAGCATCGAAGGTCTTCCCTTAGACTAACTTGTTGCTTCCTTTCAACAAACAGAGAGAGGAGATAAATATTAAATGCAGACAGGTTTCGGCATCTCAAAGTAACATGTATTTGTAGTTCATGCTCAAACACCAAGAAAAACACTGCACTTTCCAGCATACAAATTAGCTGAAGTGAGAAGGCATACCTATTTCAAGCACAGCTTTTACAGCAGAACAAGGGGACAGTGTTACTTGCCAGAGCCAAACTCAAAATCCCATCTGCATGCAGTGGTAGCGGATGTGTGCTTGTGTGCGTGCATCTTTGCATACCTATGTATAGCTCAATAAAACATCCGCAAGGAAACGCTGCACAGATTCACATCTCCTGCAAACCGGCTGGATCACGCCATAAAGACCAGAGAGGGGAGTGTGGGCATGCCGGGGAGAGACAAAAATTCCTGACAACCCCTTTCAAAGCAAAGCTGTAAACAAACAAGGGAAAGCAGAGGCTGATGAATGTAGCCAGACTGATAGTTGTGAATCCAGCTCTACGCCACAAGAAAAAGCCCCCGCAAACATTTCAGCATTGTGAGCCTGAAGGGGAAAGTGGCTGCAAATAAAAACAGAACTGACTCACCTATTCTCCTCGTCTAGGATGGGGAAAAAATCGGAAGATAAACAAAATGCGTAACTCTTGAAAAACAAACTGTTTTTTTTTCCAGCCCCCTTCACTAAAGGGGAATGACCAGCCAAACAAAATGTACTTCAACTTTGAAATATGATTTTTAACCTAGTGAGCACCCTCAAAATAGGAAGAGGTCAACTCATAATTTTCCAGCCAGAATCAGCAGCTGTGGGACCAGGCATGGCTAGTACAGATCACTACCTAAAAAAGCCGTATATGCTCAATATTCCCACCTTCCATGCAGCACCGGGCAGGTTGTTACGTGCTAGCTTTATTTAAATAACTTTTATCCCTCTGGAAGACTTATTGAAAAGTGCTTAAAGGGATGTTGAAAGAAAGAGATGCATACAAATAAACTGGGTAAGGCTCCCCCAGCACTTGGCAAAGTTTCCAAGATGACTCATACATTATGGCTGTGTAAATCTGGGCTTGTGTGAGTGATAGCGCTGGGTTCTACCCACTCCACATTTAAATCACAGGGAAGGAAGCTCAGATATGTAATGGCTGATGCACGTCCCCCAGTGCAAAATGCACACTTGCTGATGCATCACAGCAAGATTGTTCCTCATCGAGTACTCAGAAAATGACTGCACCACACATCCAGACGGGAACATCACCTGGCTCCCTCGAAGCCATCAACATTTTCTATCCCCAGGACCATGATATAGTGATAGGACAAGGGGGAACAATTTTAACCTAAAAGAAGGGAGATTCAGAATAGATATTAGGAGAAAATTCTTCACTTCGAGGATGGTGAGGCACTGGCACAGGCTACCCAGAGAAGCCGTGGATGCCCCTGGAGGTGTTCAAGGCCAGGCTGGATGAGGCTTTGGGCAGCCTGGGCTGGTGAGAGGGGTCTCTGCCATGACAAGTGGTTGGAGCTGGACAATTTTTAAGGTCCCTTTCAACCAAAACCATTCGGTGATTCTATGAGGGCTCACATTATTGTCAGTTGTTGGGGACAATCAGCTCTTCTGGATCTGCATGAGGCCTCAGGTAGCACCCTACAAGGTACAAGGAAAAAAGAAGGGGAAATGCCTGCAGTCAGACAAGGTTAGTACAGGACAAATAACTTGTGCAACAAGTTGCAGCCTGGATGGTAGCCCACACACTTCAGAGATTAGCTGAAGCTCTGAAATGCACTTCAAGTAGTGTCCTTTGAGGTGCCATCTGGTGAATCATTTACTGGGAACATCTTAATCACATCAGAGGCATCTATCAATGCAGTGGATTTTCTCGGTGTTTAGGACTCCTCCTGCACGCTGCACTCAAGGAACAGATAAATCAGCACAGAATTAAACTTTACTGTGGTGTAAAAAAAGTCTGCAGCATATTACCACCATGGCCTGAAGCACTAGATTTTAGCAAAGTGGTATTTCACTACTCCCTCAGACAGGCTGCCACTCTACAGCCTTGCTCCCGTTTTTGGAGATGCCTAAGAAGAGGCACCCACCGGTGGTACAGAGAAGTAAGCCGAGCAGCACACACATCCCCCTGCGGCGGGGCAGCGTGCTGGGGCTGCCTCCCAGGGCAGCTCTTCTCTTCGCTCCGGGCACGGGAAAGCCGCCGGGAAGGCGCTGCCCTGAGTCGGGAGAGCTGCCGGGGCGGCGTCAGACGCGAAACTCTGCCTGCCTGCCTGCTAAATTGGGCTTCAGAGCGCCGGCTGCACAAAGCGGGCGGGAGACGGCTCCTGGGCGCGGGTCCCTGGGTTCCGAGGGGCTGCCCGGCGGTCTGTCCGTCTGTCTGTCTGCCGGTCCGTCCGCCCGTCGGTGGTCCCGTGCCGCCCCGCCCCTCCCCTCCCCGCCCCGCTCGGCCTGATTTACGGCTGTGCTGCAAACGCCTCCCGCAGCCGCTCCGCTCCCGGCTCCGGCGCCGGCACCGGCCGGGGCAGCGCGGCCGCGGGCGGCCACCTCTCGGCCGGGCCGGTCCCGGTGCCCGAAGTTTCCCAAGCTCGCCCCGCCCCGCCGAGGCGGAGGATGCAGCAGGACGGCGCGGAGCAGGGCGGCTTCCCGTGGCCGGAGCCGCTGCCCGTGGCCGGCCCGGCGCTGCCGTTCCGCTGCCCGCGCTGCGGGGAGCGGGGCCGGTTCGGCAGCCTGGCGGCCCTGCGGGCGCACCTGCAGCACGGCCACGGCGAGCGGCGGGCGCCGGCCGGGGGCCGCCCGCTCCTCCCGCTGCGGGACGCGGCGCCGGGCTCGCCGCCGGAGCCCTGCGGCCGGGGCAGCCCCCCCAGCCGCGGGGCGCCCCTCGCCGCCTTCTGCGACGCCTCCGGAGAGGGGCGGCCGGAGCCGGAGCCGGAGGCGGCCGGGCTGGGTCCCCGCCTCGTCGGTTACCTGCCCGCCGCCGACCCCAAAGCCTCGCTGGAGGCGCACGTCAGGGCGAAGTTCAGCAGGATGGTGGAGGCCGTGGACAAGACGATGGAGAAGCGGCTGGACAGGCTGACCGGGGAGCTGGCCCAGAAGACGGCGGAGCTGCTGGAGGTGCGGGCGGCCTTCGTGCAGCTCTCGCAGAAGAAGCAGGAGGTGCAGCGGCGGGAGCGGGCGCTCAGCAGGCAGGTGGACGTGGCGGTGGAGATGATCGCGGCCTTGAAGCAGCGCCTCAGCGAGTCCGAGGAGGAGCTGCACAGGAAAGAGGAGTAAGTGGACAGCGAGGGCTGCTGGCTTGGCACGGGCCTGCCGCGCTCCTGGGGCAGCGAGAGCCTCTGGGGGAGAAGAGAGGCGACGGCGCAGTCACTTGCTGACTGTAAAAGGGCCTGGAGTCCACCCCTGGGTGGTGACTCCATCTCTAGAGGTGACTCCGTAGCCCCAGCAGGTAGGGCACAGCTCCTCTGAGCAGTGCCTTTGGGGAGCAGCAGCTCCCTGCTCACTGACTTTTACATTTTCTTATGCCTGCACTGCACCCCTGCTTCCATGGGGTAGAGGCAAGTGTAAGCTATCATCAGCAAGTAATCTGATTTACGCTGACATCTCTAATCCCTTAGCTTTTAAAGGAGGCTGGATAAGTGCTGGGGAAAATATGTACCAAAACTGAGCGGTGCCTCTTCCCCGAAATCACCCTGCTGCATGTGGGGGAGCCTGTGCAGGGCGATGGCCTCCTCCTGTGCTGCAGCAAAGCCCCGCTGGACACGGTGCTAAAAGGCCACCCCAAGGAGGTGCTTAGGGCGGACACAGCACTACGAACCTGGGGTCTCTGAGGGGCAATAGGAACCAGTCGCCGGAGTCATTCTGACTAACCCAGCCCATCTAAAAATACGCTCATGATGCATCCATTAAAAATGTAGTGATAGCTGATATATTATTTATACATGAACTACTTAGTTTATTCAGCACTTGCTGAAACCTTTCAGGCTTTTTGGAGCAGCACAACTTATTTTAGAGGAATGCAAATGAAAAGTCTTGGTAATGGAGTGCCTCCAAACCAATTCACAAGCTTACAAAGGGAGATGCTAGTTGCCATGACGCTGATCTTAGAAGAAATAAGGAAGGTGGTGTAGGAGTTCAGTGTAGGAAGTTTGGAGGGCTTTCATCGTTCCTTCCCGCAGTCTAAGGACTAAAAAGAAAAGATGCTGATGGCTCCTCCATCAGTAGGAGTCATCTACAGTGAGACAGTGCAATTGATCCCCAGGAGAGGGGGCAGATATTCAGCACTTCTGATTTCTGAAATATTAGGGCAGCTTCATGGACAAGAAGATTCAAGGACTCAAGATGAAGCAAAAGGTAATAGTGGAACTGAGAGAGAGATTTGAAAGCATGCTGGAAGGAGGCTGTGAAGACATGTAACGCACAGTTTGAAGTAGTTTTGATATTCCCATCTAGCCAAACTCCCCCTATGGGCTCTGTCACAGCGTGATTCAGCCTACTTCTTCTAGAAGAGTATCTGGGCGTGGGAGGAATTGCTCTGTGGAGGTCCTTCTTCCCTCTGCAGCCTAAAGAGAGACCTCAGGTAAGACGTTGTAGGCAAGATGCTGAACTTGGGATATCTAAAATGAGGCACGAATTGTGCCCCACACAAAATCTCTGAGATGTGTGTGGGAGAGGAGTCGTGCAGCACCAGCAGCACCTCATTGTAGTGCCAGCTGGGGCTCATTCGCCCCCTCCCTGCCCTGCATCTGGAGCTAGGGTGAGGCAGGGGGATAGAAGGGAGGGTGCCCTGACCTCTCGGCTCCTTGCGTGGCTGCCTCGGTACAGAGCACTGCCAAGGCACTCTGAGAGGCTATGAGATCAGGCAGGGTGTGTGAACAGGTAGAGTTCACAGAAATACTGATTTTTCTTCTTCTGACAGCTTCTGTATTTCCCATCTTGGGGGATAGCAAGGGATACAGCCACAAACTGTACAGTACGGCATCCTAACTCAAGCATCACTGTATAATTAGGAAATTAAGAAGGAAGGTAGATATAAATAATGCTTTATAAAAGCACGACTGATATCTCTATGGGCAGCTTTTTGAATCTGAGTCTCTAAAAATGTCCAGATGCTTAGTTTTGTGCCAATAGCAGGGAAGCTCTTCATGGTATGTAGCGGTAGAGGGGGGGAAAAGAAAGGATCTTCATGGCTCTGGTAATGACAGTGTCACTTGTTTGGTTTTCTCTTAGAACACTGGTAAATTTTGAGACCTGTCTATATATTCATCCCTCTGTGTGTTCAGAAACTCACTTACTTGGTGTGCTGAAATGACTTTCTCCTTCAAAAAGGAGGATCTCAGCTTTGGCTTTGATTTCTGGAAGAAGTCCAGGTGATTAGAAAGCCAAACAAGACTGCTTAATGGAAATTGCAGAAGCAGGAGTTCTCACTGCAGATTGTGAAAAGTCAAAGGCAGCCCTTAGGGACTGCTTTGATACTTGCTGACCTTCAGAAACAAATGCTTTCATCAGTTTCTTTGGACTGTATTTTTTTTTTCCTATGAGCAACCTTGTGAATATGGATAACTTTTTTCCCATAAGTAGTATTGATATTGATCCACTGTAGCTGAAAACTTGTTCCTCTGTCCTCTCTGAAAGAGGAAAAAGAAAACACCTTCCTCCCAAAAACATCTTTGTCACCCTTTTTCAAAGGAAGTAAAGGAAAGCAGTCTGTCTTTGGGTTCTGAATGGTTGTCCCTACTACCAGACATCAGGAATAGGGTGCATGTGAAAACCAGAAAAGAGTTATTACCAATATGCACTTACGGATCTCAGAGACCGAAACAGGGCTACTCGAGATCAGTCTGTGGGTTTAAAAAAGAAATCTTGCAAAGAGGAAAGAAATTCTAGTCCAACTCTTAGATAAGGTCACAAAAACTATTCTTTAGAGGCTCTTCTAGAGAAAAAGTTAGCAACTGATATGGAGTTGAGTTGTGAAGGGTAGGACAGGTGGAGGCACCACACTAACTATAGTAGTGCATAATTAAAGCAGTAATACTCTGCACAGAGAAGTCGTAGAGTAGGTGCTGTTGTGTCACTGAGTCTCATCAAACTTAGAGAGTTGAACAGCCAATGCTTTTTCTTTTTTTTTTTTTTAATTATTATTATTATCTGGATGTTCTAGAGAAGCAAGCACAGCTACTAAAGACAGGTCCCAGTTTACCAATCTGCCTTAGTTGGACCCTGAACAGTTTTGGTGAATGATGGCCACAGTGTCAAGCCTTCAGCAGAGCTGCTGAGCAAACAAATGATATAATTAGAAAATGTGCCCTGAAAGGGATTATTCAATGTCTGATGAAGGAGAATACAACTCAGTGTGAGCACTGTGATGCTAAAGCTAACGCAGGAGCCTTCCCAAAGGGAATAAGACTGTGTTGAATAAGATAGCAAGAAAAACAATGAAAATAAAACCAGCTATGAACTCTTTCTAGAGGACACCTAGAGGCTTGTTTCTGGAAGTCATGTAAAAACAATGAAATGGCAGAGTTTGATTTTTTTTTATTTTTTTTTTCTTCAGTAGGTCTAAACAAGGTATTTGAAGTTACAGTCTTCAATAGTGACTTAATTTCACTTTGTCTCCTAATTATAGGGCAAGAGCATACATGTAGTACGTTGTCATATCTCTGACAGCAATTTCTTTAACCAATCTATTACATTTGTTTTAAGACTGTCTGGTCATGCCTCTGCTCTGGCATAGCCTGCAATAAAAGGGCTATTTCAGAATAGCTATTGTGGTGAGTGGTTATTTTTGCCACTGGCTTCACCTGAAATTTGCAATTATTGGAACTATTTGTTCAAATAACAGCTTGACAATGGGATTAAGAGCTGGCTTTTAAAGATCACTGCAATTTGTGCTTCTTTAAAACAACAGCTTGCCTTTAAATATGAGAATCACTTGTACAACAAACCAGTTTTGCTTTTGATGACCACAACTAGATGTTGGTTTTCCACCCTTGGTTTCAGGGGGTCCTGCTCCCTCTTCCCCATGTCCTTTCATCTTCCCACTCAAGCCATTGCTCCCCCCTCAGCTGCACTGGTTCAAGTGTAGCAGGACTAGCCCACAAAATGGGGCTGGGAAATGAAGCATTTTAATCCTCACAGTGTCACCCCAGTAAGCTCAGGGCTCAGATCTAGACCACAACCCAGCAAATGGGTGCAGCTGATAGGACAGTAACTTTCTGAGAGGAGGAGGTGTGAACCTCTTAAATCAAATGTGCTGATAGCAGTGTAGGAATGTGAAACCGCAGCCTAATGAGCAACAGATACCAGATTTCAGGCACAGAAGGCAAAGGGATGATGGATCGGGTCAGCAGCCTTAATACTTAATGAATGTTCGTATTTTAAATAGTTTCTTAAGTAAATAGAAACTTGCTTTTGTAGGAACTTCCCCATCATTAGGTAAAATAACAAAATAATTTGTTTCTCTATCCATTTTAGGCAAAGTGCAATTCTGTAAAGGGATTTGATGCTTGGGTGCAGAGTCTGCCCAGAGCCTCATGCCTGTCTCCGCCTACGGAGCAGTTGCAGGTGTCAAAACTGCTGTAAATAGTCCTGGGACCAGCGATATGTATCTGTAGGAGGGCTTGGTTGCAATGTGTGAAACCATTATCCCTTCTTGTCAGTTGTTAAGGAGCTGGAGCTGTCCCAACCTCTGCATCTACTCCGCGTATCACGTGTTTATCTGCTGAAACCCAGCGAACACAAAGGGCATCCGCAGGACCCACATGCCAGCAACTGCCTGGTAAACAAGAACTGCAGCTCACTAGTTCTGTAGCGACCACCCTGTGATCTAGTGGTGAAGGCAAAAGAATAAATTTCACCTAGGCTGCTCTGATTTACGACTTTATTTACCACATCTGACACTGCGTTTGGGAAGAGCTCTTCTCTGTCAGTCTGGCAGCATGGGCACCTCCTGCTCCTCTCAGACACCTCCCTTGTCTGTTTGTCTTTCTCTCTATTTTTTTCCCCCCCGATGCCACAAACTGCTGCCAGTTAAATGTGCACTCTGCTCTCTGGGAAGGAGCAGTCATCCCTTCTTCTAAAAGCTTCTGTCTGATGGAGGTTGCAGCACCCAAGACAGAGCTGCCCCTTCTCCCCGCTGCCCAGTCATAGCCCTTCAACAAACCATTATGCTATACAACGTTTGTTAATATTAGTATTGCGTACAGTAAGCAAACAGGATAAGTCACTCTGCTGCCCATTACAGAAATGTACAGACACCCGAGCTGCACTGAGCGTCATCTAGTTCACGCAGAGGACGCAGTGGCAGGACCTAGTGCTGATGGTGCTACAGCGAGGGCCAGGGTGGTGCTGAACGAGAAGAGGCAGGAGGCTGCAGGCTGATGGAGCAGAGAAGAGTGGGAAAGAAGCCCTTCTGAGAGCAGAGGGGCTCCAGGGGAGCTAACAGCTCTGCATAACCTTTCCTTAATATAGCAGCAGTGCTCCAGATGTAGAATGATCAGCATAGGGTAGCAGAGACCTCCAAACAGAAAGGGCAGTGCTTCCAGTCTGAGCCAGGCTTTAATAAATGAGTCCTCTTTCAGGTGAGTGCTGTTCTGTAAAGATACCGAGCCCAGCAGGCCTGTGCTGCTGTGCTCTCTGTTATACACCTCCACCAAGAGGGCCCTGTAATACTCGCACGCCCACCTTCCCTCGACTTCATTAGGAGTCATTAGCTGACCTGCTGGAAACATCCATCTTCCGCAGTGTCAGAGCACAAAGTAAAAGATGGAAATCATCGCATAACATTCACCCAAAATTTCGCAGACGCCTGGAGAAATAAATTGCAAGTAAGTAAGATAAGCACAAAATCATCACATCTATTAAAAATAGATACTAGAAATAGGACTGGAGAGAGGGTTATCACTGTAGGTAGAAAACGTCTGTGCACACTACAAGACAATAAAGGCAATTAAATGGGTAAGCAGTGGCTGCAGAGAAGCTGCACAAGTTCTTTGAGCCATTTCCCTGTTGTTCTTTGGGGGGGGAAGAGGGTAAAAATTCTTCTGGGAGCTTCCTTCAGGTAACCAAGGCACAGCAGCGGTGCAGAGCGAGCTCTCTGAGGAAGAGGTTGTGGAGCAAGTAGGCTTATTGGCAATTGCTCCTCGGAGCTTGGTGGTGTTTGGAGAGATTTGAATAAAGTAGAAACAAGTAAAGTACCTGAACTAACAAAAGTGCTGCTTACCAGGACAAGGCATGAAACTGAACCCTAGTGGGTGTCTATATTCTGGCTCCTGTCTTCATAGAAGGAATTTATGGAGTGGTTGTACAGTATCAGCACAAAGGAAAAGTTTTATCTAAAAGTTATTAAAGGCAAATTCCTAGATTGTATCGAGGCATCTGAATAAACAGAGAACGATGGATACATTTCTTTCTTTTTTTTTTTCTTGCTATCCTACAGATAACAAAATGGTACTACTGCTGCTAGTAACAGTTCCTACAAACGGGCTTGTAGGATGCCAAGTTACCTTAGGTAGTCTAGAAAGCAAGAAGAATACTAGGGAATTTATTGCGTCTATGTGCCTGTTCTCCTGAGAGTGATCCAAGCCTTCCAGAAAAAAATCCTGTTTTCCCCCATCTCCCTATGTGCAGCTCACTAACTGTGTGTTTGTAGGAAAGGAAAATTTATGGGTGATATATTCATGCCATGAAGTAGAAGATTAATGAATGCTTTTTAATTACCTTTACTGGCACCATTACAAATATTAGCATTCATGAAACTATCAGCCTTCTAAAAACAAATGCCAGGTCCTTGATGTGATGCTTGTAGCCTCCAGCTACAGCAGAGTACACAACCTGGCTGCGTGGCCATGGCAAGGACGTGCTGGTGGTGTCCCAGGCTGGCCAGTCCCTGCTCTGCCCCAGCACTTCTGCCAGAAGGCTGCGTGCAGCTCACCTTCCTTCCCCAAAGGAGGGATTTAAAGCCAACGTGGTAGGTTTCTGTCCTTTGAGCTTCCTGTCCACTGCAAAAGAGTAAGCTGCGGCAGTGCCATGGGCTTTGTAAATCCAGAGTAGCTTCACCAGGTTAAAGGAGTTAGTGTAAGTGATGTGAGAACAAAGCCTTCAATGTGGGTTTTTAGTGACCTTACTGAGTTTAGATTTGCTTCCTCCTTGGCATCCTTCAGTGGCTTTTTATTACCAAGTCACTCTGAGCAGTCACAGAAACTACAAAGCCTTGCAACAGGGGTTTAACGAATAAGGTTCCTCTCCGTTTCTTCAGCCAGACTTTGTGGGTAAGTTCATATAAACTAACCTTCATGGGTGTGCTCATCCAAGCAGTACGTGCTGGTTTTTAGCTCATTCCTGCCACTAGGATCAGCCATGTAAGCAGCCTACTGATGCACTCTGCTATGGCTTAGAGCAGGCAAATGCAGCTTGAAGTTCAAATGGCAGATTTCCATAGCTGGCCACTTATGTCTAACTTCGTAAGACAAACCCAGCTCACTTAAAATAATTATCTACAGCTATGCTGAGTTAAAACAATCTTTGATGAAACGCAGATAACATTTGGATTTGTTATAAACAAGCAAAGTTTTGAAAGGCCATTACTGCTACAAAATGTTTCCTAATTTCAGCTTAAAACGCTTTTTTCTCAGGCGCTGTGTTTCCACCGAACAATCATGCCCTGTTTCATTTGGCAAGCGTTGGTTCCTCCAACTCCCACACCCTGAGTTTTGTACAGAGCAAAAATTAACTGGCAGAGCAGGAACTGTTTTTCCAGGCATTTAATAACTGGGGAAATCCTGCATGCTCAGATTTGCCATTTTCTGTAATACATAGCTGGCTGTATCCAAACGTTTCCCACCCAGAACTCCTGAAATTAGGCCCAAATAGTGGCTCACTTACCACCCTGAGTATGCAGAGCCCTTCAGAATGAGCTCCGTCTCCATACATAGCTGGGACCTTTCACAGTCAGCAGCACCATTTGTTGCTTCCAATTGTGCTACCAGACAAGAGGCACTGCTAAACTCCTGACCTAAAACTTGGTCTTCCCACGCACTTACTCCATGCTCAAAGATCTCTAAATTCTCCCTTAATCTCCTGCGCTCCCACTAGCTCCAGCTCATAGCGCTGCACTTTGAAGTACTTGCAGGATTGCAGCCAAAACGGAGCTTAATGGCCACAGTAGCTCTCTTAAGTTAGGAACTAGCACAGCAGCTGTTTTAAACTACCACTGCAAGATTATGATGAACCAGGAAGATGATTTGGGGGTTTCATCCACTCCTCTTCATGTTTCAGGACTGATAGGCACATTTATAAATAGGAAAAGAGAAGGTGGATCTGTTTTTGGCTAAGTAGCTATGGCTGTGCCCAGGTACCTCAAGTAGCGAATGGTTTTGCTTAATGTTAACAACGTTTCTGCCCTGCAGTCTGTGGACCAACAGGATCAAGGGACTATTTCCAAGAGCTCTGAGTGTGACAAAAAAATAAAAAAAACCAAAAAAAAACCCCTGACCATAAATTTAAATTCAGCATTCAGGGCTCTAGATCTTTAGTGAGTGTCCATAAAAAGATTGAAATCCCTTAATGGAGGGGAAGGACAGTAATTAGCTACATGGGATAGCACCATAAAGAAGAGAAGAAGCATCAGTATTTTTCTGACAGCAGTGAGACCAGGGCTCTCCCCATTATTTACATGTTTCCTCTCTGTGATATTTTTGTCTTACAGAGAAGTTGTTACTTTCAACCACTTCCTCGAAGAAGCGGCAGAAAAAGAATTGCGGGGAAAAGCCAGGCTCCAGCACTTCATTGAGAACCTGCTGCAGCGCGTGGACCTGGCGGAGAGGCAGCTAGAGTATTACCAAAACCAGCAGATCGCCTGCAGCCACATGGATGTCAGCGACCACATGGTAAGCCAGTAAAGTCCTTTCGTTAATTCTCACCCACCACCAGAGGGAAAGTGCTTGACTTTCAGTGTGAGTAGGCTCAGGGGGACGGGCTAATTGCTACTCCAGACAGACCTGGCTTTATAAATGCTTCTGTAGACTTCTGTTTTATTTATGTTTTAAACCACTACTTCTCATATTTGTCATGCCTCACACAGAGTGTGTGTTAAGTAGTAAAAGGTGAGTTTCAAACAATTTTGAGTCTCATTACAGAAACCTGAAAAGTTCTGGGTCTCACTCACATAAATTTTGAGCTTAGAGCTCTTGATCATCACTGTAAAGGGTGGTGTGGAAAACAACCTGCAGTTGTAACCAAATCATAGGGTAAGGAACAAAGGCAGCAGGGAGATGAGGATTCCAGCTTTGTGCCCTTAGAGCTGCGGTCAGGTGCCACTACCTTGGGGATGGGAAGAGCAGTGATGGCTGTAAACGTTGCTGGTACCTGAAGCCACACAAAACAAAGCTGGTGCTTCCTTCCTCCTTTGTGAGGATGCTGCCTCTGGCTGTTCATGGGTCCTGGTGACTGTACAGCAGAAAAAATGACCCTGGCAGGACAGCTAACCTGGCAAAGGAGGGAAAGGTAAAAGCAGAGCCAAGGCACTGTGCCTTGTGGTAACCAGACATACCCATTCCTTGCGCTTGTCACGGCTTCCTGCAGAGCCAGCAGTGGGACTTTGACTAACAGGGTCAGACTGGAAGTGATAAACTGGCAATGAAGAGCGGGGTAGGTCTTGCACTGATTTGGGATGTCCAAATGGGTAGCCATACTACCCAGAGAACACTTTCTGGGCACCTCTCAGGTCTGCAGCAGCATGGGAAAGGGTGTAGGAGCAACATGTAGAAGCTCAGTTTATCCCATCTGGACTCCATTTGAGCCAGGCTTTATTTCCTTTTGAACAAAGAAGCAGAAAGGATGAGAGCAGTAATCAAAGGTGGGAAAAGGAGAGCAGAAAATAATGAAATATTTCCCAGATTTTTTTTTCCAGCTTTGGCTATTGCTGGTGTTACCTTTGCTGGAAACAGTTTCCCTTTTGTCATTTACTGACTTGGCAGTTTTCTGGAGATCCCTGAAGACTTTCAGAAAGGATGTGAATCCCTGTAATGGACACAGAAACCTGCTGGCAGGTTTCAGCTTGCTTTCTGTAGTTCCCTATCAGCAGACGTGTAGGAAGAGTGAACGGATTCCCACAGGCCTGTCAGACTAGACTCCACAGACTAGAAACCACTGCTGTCTGAAGAATGCTTTTAAAAATAACTATTTCTTTAAAAGCCCTCATTATTACTACTTAAACTCTCTACAAAGCATTACACTTATACGGCAAGTTTTATCCATGACTTCTCCAGAACATGTCAGTTTCAGTGAATACCCCATACTGCCTATGCTAATTGCTCATCCTCGTGGAGGTGAGATGAGAGGCATTTGATCATGCACAGCACTAAGGAGGTCTGTAGTGGTAGAAAGCAAAGGTTTCCGTAGCCACGTGGAAGACAAAGACCTATAGGCAAGAACCAAATCAATGTGGACGCGCTGACATGTAGCGTAGGACACCTCCAACAGTGTCTGTGAGAATGCCGAGGGGGGTGTAAAGATGGGTCTCAGTATTAAATCTCCCATGCTCTCGATGTGTTTTCCAGGGTCCCTGGCTCAGCACTGTCCCCTGGGGCAGGCAGCAGTTTTTGAGGCAGCTGCCCTGCTTTCTGAGTGACTTCAGCGTTGCTCTAAGGTCACCCATCCAAATACTGACCAGCCTGACCTTCGGGGGGTAATTACAGAAGAGCACGGGATGGCTCAGACTCCCATCCAAGACATATAATGAGCAAAGTCAGGCTGGGCAAAAATCCATCTGCAAAGCACGGACAATACCAGGGACAGAGGGAACACTGGCTTGGCTCAGTGACTTCATTAAACGATATTCAAAGGCTCGGTTCTAGTGACACCGGTGGGAGATCAATACAAAGAAGCCTGTAGGTACCCAGACCGATTTAGGCTGAGCTGGCATCAAATGCCTCCTTTCCTGACCTCCACTACAAGAGGGATGAGACAAAGTGATTCCAAGCTGTCAATCAGGTGGTCATAATAAATGAAGTTGTACAAAGTTCACGCTGCTGGCACCAAGGCTACGTTATTCCTAGCTAGTCTTGAGATTTTGGGTGGGGAGGGAGAACACTGGTGTTCCTGCCCTCCAGCCTTGAGTGCTGCTGGAGGCAGAGACACGAGCTGGTAGTGGAGGTTTTCTAGCTGTTCGTGTAAAGGAAACACATCACTGCAAAATTAAAGGCTCTGAGAGAAAACTAATTTAATATAGCTTGTTCAGGCACTGTCCCTTATTAATTATCTTGAACACAATAATTACTTCTCATTGTACCATATTGTTTAATCTAAAGTGAAGCATCTCTGTTCAACCCACACTTCTTTAGCAATTTACTGTGATTATAATTATGACAAAAATAACGGGGAAAAGTCCAACAACTAACAACAAATTAAAAAAAAAATAAGTTAGAGGAATAACAATCTGAAAACGTTTTTTTTCCTTATTTTTTTTTCATGAACATTTTTCTTGTATTAACAGCAGGTGAGAATGGAAATGTGATTTTGAAGACTGCGTATATTTCATCTCCATACTTTAATTGCTTGGCAATTTAATACTAATATTTACCACCTGTTTCTTTTTTTTTCTTTGCAGTTTACAGACATTTCATTAAATAAGAAACCCAGATGCCTGTATGTATGTCTTTTTATTTTTCTCTTACTTAAAGATGTAACTTGACATGCTTAAATTGCTGCTTTTGCATTTCAAATTGATCCAAAAGCCTGACCAAAAAGTCAGGTTTGGATCAAGTTCCGTACCTTGGTGGGGTCTGTATTTATGGGATGTAATAGAAGAAAAACAGATTTCTGCTAAATCGAGATTTCTGCTCCATCAAAAGATTTCTGCTAAATCAGAAATAAAATGAAATATTCTTTAAAGGAAAACAGAGAATAATTGTATGTAAACTAAATGATTCCTTTCTGATTGACTTTAATACCCTATCGCAGCGCTACAGTTGTTGAATGTCTTTGGTAAATGCAGGTCAAGCTTCAGCTGAAAATATCTTCAGCATTCTGTAGGGAGGAGAGAGACAGCTGTCATTTCCTAACTGACACTAACGCTGTCAACTTAAAAATCACATGTAAGCAAACAAGTGTCTTGAGAAAGTACGGCTGCTAGCAACATCTCTTTTTACTCAGGCAGCTGTTCTGGGAGTAGAACCAACATGGGCTGTTCTGTCAAAGTAAAGTCTTTGGCCTGAGTATAACACAGTTTGGTAAAATCCATTAGTTGCTGACAAACAGTGGGAGTTCAAAGACATATGTAAAATTGTTTAGAGGTTTCTGTTTACCTATTGATACAGTTCTCCTTTAAAAGGCAATGGCAAAACTAGCATTCAGTGGTAGCCTTTATTTGGAATTATCAGACTAAAAATAGCCCAACTTGTGCTACCAAGCAGAGAGGGTAGAGGAGATGCTCAGCGGGGTAGGGAGGGTTTATTTTGCTCTGCCTGCTCTGGGGATGAAGGGAAATCTCAGCCTGATGCAGGGGGAGGTGTCTCTGCCCATGGATGGGCTTTAAGTCCCTGCCAACCCACACGACCCCGTGATTCAAAGTCCAGCACCTCAGAGTCACCTGTATTGAGGAGCTGCCACTCCCCATGGAGCAGCACTGCCCACACCTAGAGCCGGCAGCACTGCATTTCAGCGGGTGATGGGCTGCGTCTTCAGTCACCTTAAAGACCTTCTTCACCCTGACTACTAATTAGGGGCAGAATCTCCTCCATCTCCTCCATCTCCTCTGCCACAAACTGGTTTAATTTAAATACAGTTCAGCTCTTTTGGGCAATCCCCTCCTGTCATCTTAACCATGACCTGAGCTGGTTTTAACAAAGCTGCCACCGGGTAAAGCCATTCTGTAAGTAAGGCTCAGGTCCTGTGCAGTCAGTTGGCTTTCACTGCCTCATACCAACAAATGCAGAGGCTTTCATGACACCCTGCAGGTCTTTCAAAGAGCAGGCTTCAAACAAGGGCAGATTTGGAGGGAGACATGCGAAGAGGAACACATTTCGCTGGTACCCCATGTGAGTCAAATGGAAGGTCTCTGCAAGTCTGTGAGGAGGAGGGGAACGCACAACCAGGGGAGTATCAGGTAGCTTTAAAACAGTGCAGCATTGATGGCTGTTGCTGTGAACCAGGACCAGCCCGGAGGGTGGCACAGGGAGAACAGTGAGGCTGATGGGAGAGGACTCGTGCTGTGGCACTTGCACAGCTGCAGCTTTTTCCAAAACTGGCCTTATCAATGCACAGTACTGTCCAACGCCCAGGACAAGAGCACGGATAGGTTTTCAGAAACGACGAGCTCTGGAAAATAGCCCTGTGGGAGCCCTTAAGAGACTGACGCACAAGTACACACATCTGTTCCTCACTTCAGTCACAGCATCTGGGCAGACACGAGCTGGTGCCTGACATGCGTTATGCTGCTGTTACTACATGTATCTGCCGTAAAACATTCTGAGATGATGTTAAAAGGTATCCGACTTAGCTAAACTGTGGAACTGCTGTTTCAAAATAAAAATCTTGGAGCAGAGGGCATGGCTCAGCCTGCACAGCACCATGCCGTAACTCCTCCTGAGCTCACCGATTTCATCAAATCCTGCCAGGCCTGAACCATCACACAGAGAACAACAAATTCAGCTCACTTTGCCCTTTAAGATTTTGCTCCCTTCTTCATGCCAATTTCTCTATTCCCCTTTCCTCTTCTCCCTTTCCAAATTGCAGCCTAAAGTGAAGCCAAAGCATCTCGGGTGGCCAGCACAGAGACAGAACCAAGTTTCCTGAGCTACTGGCCACTGGCAGCTGCGGTCCCCTAGCACTTGGCAGAGTCCCAGGCAGTGCTCAGAAAACCAGAAGCCCCCACAGTTCCTGCACCCACTTTCTGCTGTCATTGGGACCATGTGGTCTTCCAAAGACACAGGGACAATTGTTCACTGCAGAAGGTTGCTGTGAATATGTGTATCTTTAAAATCTCTTTAGATTAATAAGTTAACAAGGATATAGACCCGAGCAAGGTGACAGTGCTCTAAAATCAGCAGAATCATATCCTCATTTAAAATGTAGATGAATGTGCATGAAGAGTCCATCAGTAACGTGTAGTTCCTGTAGCAAGGGATGATTTTGGTTATGGAGAAATGTAATTTATATTGCAACTGTTCTTAACTTTCAACCTGGTCCTGTAAAGCAAGGCTATTCTGCCTGCAAAAATATATGGGTTTGGGACATTTGGGGGCAGCTTTCACTTTGCAAGACTGAATAATAATTATTAATAATCACTATTATTAATTTCAGGAGCCGAGGAAGTCAACGTGCCTCATACAACATCCCCGACACAAAGCCTCATTCCTTTCAGAAAGGAAGAGTCTTGCTGAAAAAAGCAAAGGAAGAAAAGAACAGTTTGCCGCCGGTCAGATGCTTTTACGAACCTATTGATTGCCCACGAGAAATATGGAGAGCCCAAAAGAAAGGTGACCCAGTCTGCTCTGCCAGGAAAGCGAGCGCAAAATCCAAGATGGGTAAAAAGAGCAAACAGCTATAGGAACGGCTAACAATATAAAAAGTAACACAGGAGCTTGGCTTCAACAGAACAAATACTGAAAGAAGTTAATCATCCCACTTTTTCCTATCCATCTGGCCATGCCAAAACATAACAAATCTAATATATAGAAATGTATACAATATGGAATATTTATATTATTTAGCAACACCATTCCCTCTTTGGGCGCTATTAGAGAAATGAAACTTTATTAAGTTTACACGGAGGGTTTTCTATCTATTTATTTATTTATAGAGCTTATTTTAAACAACTGCAGTTATCTTGCTGGGCAGTACTGTGGCTGTACGTTTAATTATTTTAGTGGCAGCATGTAGCTTGGTAATTTATTTTCCATCTATGCTGTTGCTGAAGTTAAGAAGAATCCATTTAATCGGCACCCAAACAGTCACTCTTCCAGCTTAGGTAGGTGTAAGATGAATGATTGACTGTTACCTGCGCAAGCATACTTGGATGCAAAAAGCCTACTCGAGCTGCTTGAAGGCTGCTATAGCAGCAGATTGCTACCCTGGATTTTCATCAGGAAGCCCACTTGGGCACATCTCCACATTTCATTACCTCCATTAAGTGGCCCAGTCCTGCCAGCAGCCACGGTCCCTGCTGGTGCAAGTTTGGGTTGCTGCAGTGTCTCAAGCACAGCTTGCACACCCCAGCAGCTTTCTCAATGGGCACTGGCCTCTGGTATCACTTGGCAGTGAGGGCAGAGCACGCTGGGCCCCAGGAGGCAGCTCAGCAGCGAGCAGCAGCAGGCAGCCAGCCGCGGGGAGCAGCACGCCGCAGCGCGTGGCGCCCTGAGCAGTGCCTGCCCTTGGGTTGGTCGGGAAAGGCCTAAAAGGGCTGTGATCATAACCTAACCCCTTCAAATCTTCATCTCCGTGAAAAGTCCTTTCAGGGGAGATGGCTCCTCAAATTTCAACTAAAAGCCCAAGAGTAATGAAGACAGATGACCACAGGATGGAAGTACGGGTGTTTACAGTGGTTTGTGCCAATTAAAAGGATCCTTAATTCATCAGAGTATTTATTAAGATGATTTTTCCGTGTGTACAGATTTTTGGTAACCTGAATCCTCATGCCATGTTTACAAATACGAACATCTTGTTGATGTTACTGAAGAGATTTGTTTTCTCAAGCAACAGAAAGAATAGATGAGACAAGTCTGCGTAAATTATTTTTAAATGCTCATAACAGATGTAAATTGTTTTTGTGGAAGGTGATTTTTACAGTATGTGTATAAAGATTTGTGAAAAATGTTTTTCATTTTTATAACTATGACTGTAAGCAGAACCGAGTATTAAAAGGCAGTGTATCACTATGATTACTGCTGCAATAAGCACCCGAGTTGCAATATTTTTAAAGCAGAAGAGGACCAGTCAGTCAGATCAGGTAACGACAGGTGTCATACATCTGCCGGTGCACAGAGTCCCCGAAAGTAGCGGAGCAAAGAAAGAATATTATTCCTCACTTTTATTTTAACTAGTGGATGTGGAACTATCAGATATATGTTCAAAGTTTCTCAGCACTGTTTCGATAGGAAGTCACAATGTAAAGTCAGTTCGGGTATTTAGGTTGTACTGACATTTTAGTATTTGTTTACCTCTGTCACAAGGCCACACTTGGCCTTCCACTTGCCATTGTGTGGTGAAGAGGATTTGTCAATTGTGTTGCATGGGTTTTGGTTGGATCATGTGTTACAAGAACTTGCCCAGGAAAACCATATCATAGAAACAACCTTTAGGTTTTTTCCATTTCCCACATCCTACTAACATGAAGAAATGATAATGAAGGTGATCTTTAGAAGGGAAGTAAATACATTAATATGTTCCTTTATCCACTTGACACTGAAAGAATATTTTTATTTTTAAATGCCTATCTACTCTATTAGTCACCAAAGTTAAGTGCAACTACTAGTTCACAGATGAGATGTTTATTTTATTATTTATTGCACCAAAATCTTGACTGTAAGTGGGGGAGGAAGAGAAAAAAAGAGAGTGAAAGATGCTGCATGTTCTTAAACTTTTCAATTTAAGTTACAGTTACTTGCTGAACAAATGCTGGGTTAGTTAATCAGAGAGAAATTGGATCGGATTGTAACCCCGGATAAAAGTTTTTAGAATATAAACATTCTAATAATAAAGATATATTTCTCAGTTACTGTGTCATTTTACTTTATAAAAATACAGTTAACTTTGTGAAACGTTTCTTACAAAAGCCTACCCAACTGCAGAGAAAAAGACAATGAATAATAGCCCCATTTGGGCTTCTGGTTATTCCTCAGTTAAAATGCCACTGATCTTTCAGAGCATTACAAATGAACCCAAGAGACACCTGCAGCATCTTGGCCCCACACAGCTCGCACGTTGTGCCACCTGCCCCTCCTACTGGAATGGTGCTCGAAAATAATTCCTAAGGTAAGCCACATGGTCAGACAACCTGCCTGAGTCAGGGGTGGGGAGGGAAAGGAGCAGCCATGGAAAATCACGGGCAGAAGGTCTACTGGGAAACAGGCAGCCTCAGGCACATTTATGTGATACACTAGCCCATTTATAAAGTGGATGTCTGGTCACCGAGAGGACACAACTGCTGCAAGGTGCATCTCCCAGCCACACGTCACGGCCCACTCAGAGAGGTGCAGCACCTCAGAGAAACGTGTCCAGGCACCAGGCTGGGTAACTGGTGGTAGCCTGGGATGACCAGGAGCCGGTAATGCTGGAACTGAAAAATGTCTGTTTAAAAATATTTTAAAATCTACAATCTGAAAACGTTCTGGCAAAGCTGACTCATCTTTGAATTGAACTGAAGCACATTTTGCCTTTAGAGACACTTTGAAGACATCTAGGGGGGTTGTCTGAAGTGCAATGCAGTAGGACCTGGCCGCCTAGTTCACACACATTTTAAAATAACACCTTGTCTAAAACTAAAAACACCTCGGAACAGTACATATGTGGGCTGGGCCCTTACAGGTGACCTTTGCTTAAAACAAAATGTTCCGACTGGCACGTAACGTTATTGGCCAAGAGACTAATTGAAACCTAGAACTTTAATTAGACTACTTCATACAAAAAAAAAAAAAATTGTTTTGAGATGCTCCTGCCAGCTGAAGAGAGCACATGTTTTTAAAGCACTTGATGGTATCTGACCCCCCTCTGCCTTGGCAGTAAAAACAACCTTCTCCTGCCAGAGATTAAACACATTTGTTTTGTTTCCAGGAGAGTTACTGGAAATAATAAACTGGGAATTTGTATTCAACGGGATGGCCACCAATTAAACCAGGTACCAGGTCAAACAAATTACCACTTTTATCATCCCTAATAATCTCTTCCAAAGCCACCAGCTCTTTCCGTCTCCTTGAGCAAAGTCCTGCTCTTCTCTCCCTTTATTCTGCGTCACCAAATAGTTGCCTCTATTTGTTCTTACATCAGGCTAATGCTGATTATTTCCATACATCCTGTCTGAAGTGGTTGGAGTGGACTATTTCAGTGCTCTCTGAAGTAGGCATAGGCATTTTTTTATTTTATTTTTTTTTTAGAAAACGTAATCCCAGAAGTGATTTTATGACATGAAACATGCAACAAGCTCTTAAAAATAGATCCTGTTGTGACACGAACAAAATGTCCTTTCCCGTTTTGTTGCTAATGCTGCCACCCTCCAGCCAGCCACCTTCTGCAGTATGGTCTCTTGAATTGTCCTCTGCGTGGCCCTCCAAGGAGGCTCAAGCTGCATGGGTTAAATTCAGTCACTGGTTCGAGAAGCCCCTTTCCCCTTGTCTGTTCTAGCCACGCGCACTGTGGACAGGTAAACATCGGCTTGAAAGTTTCATACAGGGTGAAAGAACAGACACAGGAGACTGCAGGTTCCTTACAACCTGTTACAGAAGAGGCTCTTCTGAGGTGAGAGAGGAAGGGAGACACAGAGGGATCCCCAGATGCCTGGGAAGTTGCTGGGTTCTGGGGCAAGGTGAGGAGATCAGAGCCACACGGTGAGCAGCAATGCAGGGGCCTTGTTACTGCCGGCTGTTGCCTACATCTTGTGCCCTGTAGCCTACCAGAACATGTAACCTGGCACACTCACTCCTTAAATCATGCCTTAGACCTATGCTTTGAAGCCTAATTATTGATTTCAAAAAAATAGATTTTAGGATGAAGTTTTGCAAGAAACTCCTCTGACTGCATCCCTGTTATTCATTCAAGAAATAAGAGACAAGCAAAGAAACCAGCACAGCAGCACAACATTAATTGTTTCTGTGCCAGACTGCTTGGCCCACCAGCTGTCCTGAGGTCTGGAGGCGACCTCCTAAAAAGGAGGCAGTTTAATTATCCCCCCCTGTGACAGGTTGTGCAGGCACCTGTTGGACAGGAGCAGGTGACAGCACTGCTTCTGCCCGCAGCCAGGCTATCCCATGGCAGCGCAGCCACCCTATGGCGGGGCCACCCCTGGCCAGGGCCACTTTGCAGGGAACTGCCTGGGGCAGAAGGACCCATCAGCAGCTACAGCCCGGCGTCAGCAGCCTAAATAACCCAGATTTTAAAGGAACTGAACTTATTTCTGTGCAAAGAGCCAAACTGCCCCAGCTCCTCAGCATGCCTCTGGCTGCCACCATCCCTTTTGGCTTCCCAAGGCTGCTCAGGCTCCCACCAGCCCTGCAAAAGATTTGGGGCAATGGGAGGCACACGGGCACACTGAAAAACCCCACTGCACGCAGCAGCCCTGAAAACACGACTTACAGCTGTTTGGGTGCCCGTGTGGTCTCCCCCTGCCCTTCGTCCAACCCCACGGGCAGTGGAGGTGCTTCTGCCCCGCTGGGAGCTGAGGAAGGGCAGGGGGAGCCTGGTCTGCCAGCAGAGCCCCACGGACGTACTCCTACAGGCTTTGAGCATTTGCAAATAAAGAAACTAAAATCATAATTAGAGCTGCAACTCCTCTATCAGTTCATTTAATTGCCATGGTGACCATACCGAACCATCAAGAGCAGGTTTTATTGCTGAGTCCTGCTCGGCTGGCAGAGCAGTTTGTTAGCAGCCATCCCCGGGGCTTCACCTCAAGCCGCCTCTCTGCACAGGGCAGCTGAGGGCAGTGAGCAAAACGCAGAGCCCGGGTCCCAGCCAGGCTGGTGGGACACTCGCTAAAGGACAGGCACAAGTTCAAGTTTCCAGAACCGTAGGTGGGGAAAATGGAAAGGAAGATGCAACTGGTGCACTCAAAACAGATTAACACAGCATGCCCTAAAGAAGAAGGGATCAGGGCACCAGTACAGTCTCTGTCCCCCTCTTTTCTTTCTCTGGGCTTCAGCAACTTTGTAGTATTGGTTACAATTTGTTAACAAGGGAACAGGGGTGCCCACTGCACCCCCATCCCACACAACATTCCTACCCCATTTTCCAACCTATACCATTAAAGGACTCACAAGAACCAGCTTATTTTTTTTTTATTTTAGGGACAGGGGCTTCTCTTCCTTTTGCTTTAAGTAGATGAAAACCTACATCGTGGAGTCCCACCTTCCTGGATTTCAGGAATGGGGTTACATTCCACGTAAATCTGAACAGTGGAAAAGGGCCTGTTCACCTGGGCAAAAGTTAAAATAAATTCCACTTTATCCATGTGTGCCATCGAGGTGCCTGAGAGGCAGCCTGTGGGATTCAGCTGCAATGAAGGACATTTCCCGTTGTCCTAAAAGCTGCTCTGAGTTCAGAATCAGCCCGTCAAATGTGAGCCCAGTCTGAAAATTCTCTTTTTGGGGAAAAAATCAAACTTGAAACAGACATCAGTTTGCAGATGAATGCAGACCGAGCCGTTTTGCCACTAGGTGGTGATGGCTGATAATGAATTGATGCAGCATCCCTGTGTCCCACGGCTCACGACCAGCTCACTCTGCCCTGGGGCTTCACATCCCCCTTGGGGTTTTACGTTTGTTGCACTCCAGCAGGCTCTGCCCACACCAGGGACACTGCAGCACCCAGCCTCAGGCTGAGCCACAAACTGGCGAGAGGGCTTCACCAAACAGGTGCAAGTGCCATTTAGTTACAGGCAGCGATGCTGAATGAGGAGGAGCCCACGAAGCGATGTGTTACTAGCGGTCACGTGCAATGCAAACAGCATCAGCTGGGCCAGTTTCACAACCACACGAACAGAACAGAAATGACCAATATTTCTTTTTTGGATAGAGCCAAAGCTGTACAATAGCAGCCATGGGCAAAAAGCAATTTTCCACAACGGCAGCCAAATGCTGAGGCAGAGCACATGGGTGATGTGCTGTGATTCTAACACATTGAGATAAAAGCACTGCTGCCAAAACAGGGCACGTGCTCCTCTCCTCCACGCAAACCACCTCAGCAGCAGCAGGTGCCCAGGACAAACTCCTTGGGCTGTGGGGTGCCCATGCAGCTGCCCTGGTGTCGGGCTACACCCCCATTGTACTCTGCACCGTGCCACAGCAGCTGCAGCCAGCCCCAGCGCCCCTTCCCCATCCTCTTGTGAGCCTGGCAGCTCCCACCCTTCCTGCTGAGTGCATGAGTCTGCTTCTTCCTAACCCTAATTAAGGGGTTTTATTCTTATTATAGAAATTAAGTCTGCTTGGAACAAAACGGCAATTTTCTGCTATAAAACGATGACTTTCTGAAAGACATAAGAGGACTAATGCACTCGGCAACAGCTAATGACTACATGCCAAATGGCCCTTTGCTTTTAGTGTGCACCCACCTGCGTCTTCATGCTCTGCCACAGCCTGCGTGCCCATCGGTGCTGAGGAACGGCCCAGCCGGTCAGGAGGTGCCTCTGCAATGGGGCTGCGGGGCACACATCCCCTCTGCAGGGAGATGCCTCCACCCCAGAGCACAAGGGCTTTGCTATGGGGCAGAAAGGCGAGGGCCAAAAGAGTGGCAGCTGTGGGAGGGATCTTCCCTGCAGTCCCCTGCCCGGGGGCTGCTGCACAGCTCCCAGCTGGGTGCAGAACGACTCCAGCTATGACGACCCACGCCTGGGGCAGGCACAGACAGGAATTCACTGTACCTGTTACACCCATCACTACAGCATTTACCAGTGCAATATGCATACAGTGCTGATAAACAGCTGTTTGCTGCCCCAAGAAAGCTTTAGGGAGCTTGAAGATTGCAAATATGTATAAAAAAGGTCGTGGTTGTGTTTTTTTGTTTGTTTGT